CCCTCACAGTTATAATGTGCAAATTAAAACATGTCACCTGATCGACTACCACAGCTGCTGCCGTTAAGGAAACATAAGTGAAAATAATGGTTTTCAAATCAGTTACCCCTCTTCCCTTCAGATACCTCTCAGAGAAGAAAAATACGAATTATTTTAGGTTTCTCGAGCTGCGTTGGTCAACTAAATAATTCGGTTTCTTCCAAATTTTAGGTATTTTTTTTCTGGGTAATCTTCGGTGTTTGCAGAAATGTTGGTACAAAGCTTTTGGAGTTCCTATAAGCAAATCAGTCTCGTCAGTTACAAAATGGATAGATAGATTTCATAGTGAAGGGCTGACAGGTTGCGTAAAAGACCGTGAAGGTTGTTACGCTGCACAAAAAGCCTCCGTTTACCAAGATCCAACAGCCCCTCAGGAGAAGTTAACCAAGGAGTTCTGCATTGAGGAAAATAGCTTGGTAGAAACTTCGTATGCCGCAGTTAAGGAATTTCCAAATAATTCCAATTTTGAAAAAAGGTTTCACTCAAGCCTGTAATTTTTAATATCCCGTGCCTTTAATTGAACCGAATTCGTTAGAAAGCACATGCATTTTAGCAAAGATTTGAGTTAATTTCTGTAAACATTTCTGATTACCATCTGCACTGCACTGTACAATGTTTCATTTCAATTTGTTGTCTCTTGTTGACAACTAACAATTCGAAAACATAATGTATTGATTACAATAAGTCACTTTCCAAAATGAAAACTGCTCTTTCTGCAGACAACATATGACATGGTAACAAGCTGTAAGAACTAGATCAGTGTAAAACAAACACACAAACCATTCTCACAAAAATAATTTATTATCTATTTACAAGCAGTCCCCAGTTTCTTCTGTTCACAGTTATGTAAAGTTAAACAATGTCACGCATGTTAATTAATACCACAAAGGTTCAATAATGACACAAAAGCTAAATAATACCACACTGCCTGGCGTGTCACAAAATTAAGTATAAAACAAGGTCTTGTAATCAAGTTCAGAATTAATAGTCCATCTTGGTCCGAAATGGCCTCTGACCTCCACTGGCAGAAGTTAGAGCGCTCGGCCAACGTAGGGGAGCACGCCCTCACTAGACACAGCGCAGAGGAGTCAGCTTGGCCGGACCCAAAGGTAGTAAAGTGAGAAAGGGCTCTTACGAAGCAGAATTGGGGAAAAAAGATTTGAGTATGTTTTTGCTAAACGGAATGTCTTTATTCAAAATCGAGCCTAATTTTATTTTTTATTATCATTTTTAAAATATCTTTAAACCTAATGTTATTTTTAAAAAGATAGTATTTTTTACTTTTGGAAAGCATTTTTAGAGACCGAGCTACGTTTTACATATGCAATGCATGTCTTGCGATTCGAATTAATTAAACAGCAGATAAATTAGTATCGACGGAACATGTTTACTGGATTGGAACAAATGTTCAAAGCATGAACATGTTTTCAAAATTCGAATAAGATTTTACATTACATTAGTATCACATTTTCTCAAGATCGGAGCGAATTTCAAATTACAAACATTCTTTAATTAGGACTGGCATACATTTA